ATTTCTCCACAGAACTTTGCAACTCACTCCACTTTGCACATGTGTCCTTAATCACTGAAGAAGGCACATTCTCCCCTCTCTCTTCCTCCTCCTCTGAAGCAATTTCCTCAGCTGCAGTCTGTTGCTGTTCCAGTTGAAGGTCTTGCAGCTCTTCAGTGGTTAGCTCTTCCCTGTGGTCGTCCACCAACTCTTCCACATCCTGGCCACTCACATCCAACCCCCTGGACTTCCCCAAAGCCACAATAGATTCCACAATAGACGTAGAGTCGTGAGGGTCAGCCTCAAACCCTTCAAAATCCTTGTCAAGGTCACATTCCAGCCACAATTTTCTCCAAGCAGAATTTGTCTTGGAAGTCACTCCCTGCCTTCCTTATCTAATAAGGCTTATGCAGTTGAGGATATAATTGACCCTATGAGAGTTCTGGAGATTCCTCCAGAACTCTCTTAGGGTCAATTCAGTGTCCGAGGTCACTTCAAAGCATCTTTGAAACAGTGCTTTGGTGTAAAGTTTTTTGAAGTTTGAAATGACCTGCTGGTCCATGGGCTAGATGAGAGTAGTGGTATTAGGGGACAAGAACTTCACTGTGATGAAGCCAAACTGCTCCAACAACTGGTCTTCCAAGTTTGGAGGATGAGGAGAAGCATTATCCATTACCAGGAAGCACTTGAGTGACAATTAATTTTCCAGGAGGTATTTTTTCACACTCGGGCCAAACACTTAAGTGACCCACTCAATGAAAATTTACTTCATGACCCATGCCTTATTGTTAGCTTTCCTCATCACACACAATTTACTCTTGACGACATTGTTTTTCTTGAACACTCGGGGATTTTCAGAGTGATACACCAGTAAAGGCTTCACTTTGAAATCCCCACTAGCGTTACCACAGAACAAGAGAGTTAGCTTATCCTTCATAGGCTTGTGTCCTGGCAGTGCCTTTTCCTCCTGCGTGATATAGGTCCTCTTTGGCATTTTCTTCCAAAAGAGGCCTGTTTCGTCACAGTTGACGATTTGTTGGGGGAGGATTCCTTCAGCCTCTACGTACCCCTTGAATTCATCAACGAATTCTTCGGCCCCACATTTGTCAAAACTTGCAGCCTCGCCATGCCTTACCACACTGTGTTTGCCAGTTAGCTTCTTGAATTTGTCTAACGAGCCTCTGCTGGCCTTAAATTCACTAACAGCAACACTTGTTCCAGGCATTTTCTTCGAGATCTGCATGCAACTGCCTTGCCTTCTTCCAAATTATCACTTCCAAAGCACTATCTCCTGCTAACTGTTTTTTGTTGATCCACACCAATGACAACTCAACATCTTCAATTGTTTGTGATCTCTGTTTCATTAGCGCATTTACCCCTTTTGCAACATAAGCTTCCTGGAGTTCTTTTTTCTTCGCCAGGATGGAACTGATTGCTGATGTGGCCTTCTCGTACATGCTGGCAAGATCGGCCACGCGTACGCCACTTTCATACTTTGCTATGAGTTCTTTTTAATTCTACCGTGCTTCTCGCCTTCTTTATCAAAGGGCTGGCACTCAGATCTTTTTTTGGCCCCCATGGTGGCTTATTTAGCAGTTGCACTCAATAAACAAACACAAAAAAACAATGGATTATTACGAAATGTTTCGGATGAATGAGCGGTGTTATGCTCAATCAACAAGAAACAAAGGCAGACTGAGTCACGAATGCTTGGGATGCTTGGTGTGGGCGCTTGAGTGGTCAAGTCACGCGGATGCGTTTGGTACAGACCATTTTCAACTCTGAGAAACAAGCGGATGTACGAAAACCGGGACAAAATTTTGACGAAGAAAGTTATTGAAAACAAATCCTACGAAAACTGGGGCATACGAAAACCAAGGTTCTACTTTGTGAATAAAATATACAGATGAAGGACTCCACTTATGTCTTTTCACATTTAAGAGTCTATTAAAAAAGAAAAAGCAGAGATGATTGAGAAAATGTAAGTAGGAGCTTTGATTGTAAATTTGGTATCTTAATAATCCCGAGACAGTACAAGTCTGTCATGGAAGTGATTTTTTGAGGAAGAAAAGGTAAAGATACAGAACAAATAATTCATAGGTTAGGTAAGGTTCATCAGGAAACAGGACAAGTGTTTCCTGACGCAGGTCTTAGTCAGGTGATGACCCTCCGTTGGAGCTTTTGGTCGTCTGATAGAGGCCTTCCGCTGGCATACTGGTCCACTCCTTTAAGAATTACGGTCATAGTTATAACCATGTTTTTATGAAAACTGGAATGACAGCTTTTGAATGAGTGATGGTAATTGTTTCCTTTGGGTCACTCTACCTTGGTGGACCCCCTCAAGGGAGCTGCCTTGATGCTGGTGAGGGGTCTTGATTTAGGGAACTGGAGTCATTCTTCCCTTCTTTGAATTGAGCCTGAATGCCCTTCATTCCCCAGGCACTGTTTGATTCCTGTGGGAATGGCATTTACTCTGATGTAAATAAATGTACCTTGGTGGAAACTGTTGAGGTAATAATAAAAAGCGATCAAAGTATGTTTTCTGTTTTTGACACATTGGCTGTCTCCTGCCAAGGCAGGGTGACCTGGAAAAGAAAATGAAAGTGTTTCTTCGTTTTACATTTAGTAATTTATACAGAAGGGGTTACTAGCTCCTTGCTCCCAGTGCAGGGTAATATTTTATGAAGGGATTCAGGGAATCCGGTTAGTGAGACTTGAGTCCTGGAGACAGGAAAGATGATGCCTGCACTGTAAAGGAGGGGTTTGGGGTATGGCTGTTTGAAGTGACATCTAAACTGTTGTATCTGAGGACCTTTGCAAAGACATTGATTATGTGTGAATGATGGTGAAAGTGCTTCATTTTTGGGTCGCCCTGCCTTGGTGGGAGACAGCCAATGTGTTGACAGAAAGAAAAATTTGCGTAAACACCTGAAAAGGGAGCTATAGAATGAGTGATGATTGTTTCCTTCTCTGGGTCTCTCGACTTTAGAGAAAAAGAGTCAGTATGTTAAAACAAAAACTCAGTAATTACTGTAGTTTCAGGTAAAGCAAAGCATATTTGAATACAGTGGACCCCCAGTTTTCATAATTAATCCATTCCAGAGAGAGTGACTAAACCCGAGTCTGATGATTTCCAAATTAATTTTCCTCATAAGTAATAATGGAAATCCAATTAATCCATTCCAGACACCCAAAAGTTCATCCGTAAATGTTTACACCTCAGTCCACTTTGCACAAATACCCTTAATCTTTGAAGAAGGCACCTTCCTCTTCCTCCTCCTCTGCAGCAATTTCCTGAGCTGTGGTCTTTTGCTGTTGCAGATGAAGGTCTTGCAGCTCTGTAGTGGTTAGCTCTTCATTGTGGTCCTCCTCCAACTCTTCCACATCCTCGAAACTCACATCCAACCCCATGGAATTCCCCAATGCCACAATACTTTCCACAACTGGCATAGGCTCGTCAGGGTCAGCCCCAAACCCTTCAAAATCCCTCTCTTGGACACATTCTGGCCACAATTTTCTCCAAGCAGAGTTCAAAGTCCTGGAAGTCACTCCCTCCCAAGCCTTACCTATAAAGTTTATGCAGTGGAAAATATTAAAGTGATCTTTCCAGAACTCTCTTAGGGTCAGTTCAGTGTCTGAGGTCACTTCAAAGCACTTTTGAAACACATCTTTGGTGTAGTTTTTTGAAGTTTGAAATGACCTGTTGGTCCATTGGCCGCAGGAGAGGAGTGGTATTAGTGGGCAAGAACTTCACTGTGATGAAACGAAACTCCTTCACCATTTGCTCTTCCAAATCTGGAGGATGAACAGGAGCATTGTCCATTACCAGGAGGCACTTGAGTTCCAATTTATTTCCCAGGAAGTATTTCTTCACAATGGGGGCAAACACTTCATTGACCTAGTCAAGGAAAGTGTCCCTCGTGACCCATGCCTTACTGTTTGCCTTCCACATCACACACAATTTACTCTTGGCGACACTGTTTTTCTTGAACACTCTGGGATTTTCAGAGTGATACACCAGTAAAGGCTTCACTTTGAAATACCCATTAGCATTACTACAGAACATGAGAGTTATCCTGTCTTTCATAGGTTTGTGTCCTGCGTGATGTAGGTCCTCCTTGGCATTTTCTTCCAAAAGAGGCTTGTTTCATCACAATTGAACACTTGTTGGGGTTGGAATTGTTCAGCCTCTATGTACCCCTTCAATTCCTGAACATATTTTTCAGCTGCATTTTTGTAAGAACTTGCAGCCTTGCCATGCCTTACCCATTGTGTATGCCACTGTTTCTTAAATCTCTCAAACCACCCTTTGCTGGCCTTAAATTCTCTAACATCAGCACTTGTTGCAGGCATTTTCTTTACGAGATCGTCATACAACTGCCTTGCCTTTTCACAAATTATCGACAGCATAACAGTATCTCCTGATAATTGTTTCTCATTGATCCACACCAACAACAGTCTCCACATCTTCCAGTATTTGTGATCTCTGTTTTGTAAGCATATTTGCACCTTTCACAACAACAGCTTCCTTGATTTCCTATTTCTTGGCCACGATAGAAGCGATGGTTCTATGGGATTTGTTATACATTCTTGCCAGCTCTGCGGCACATACCCCACTTTCATATTTTGCTATGATGTCTTTCTTGAATTCTGTAATGTTTCTCACCCTCTTTATCAAAGAGCTGGCACTAGAAGCTTTCTTTGAGCCCATTGGTGGCTTATTTAGCAGTTACAAGCATTAAAAAGAATGGAATAATACAAAATGTATCGTATGAACATGTGGGATCGTCCTCACTGGCTGATAAACAATGACACACTGGCTGTAAATGGTGTGTCGGATCGTGCGGACTCATTTGGGATGAATGACTATTACCGAGTTCAGTGACGATCACCGAGCCAGTATTTTGCCGAAAAAAACGCTGCTTATTCCAAATACTACAAAATTCGACTACGACATAATCCGGGGGTTCACTGTATATTAATTGCTGATGCTGCCTCTTAACTGGAGTCATTTCTTTCAGAAAAAACTTCAGCCGTGGATGAAATATCTGCTACCAGCTGGTGAGAATGACGATGGTGAATTGCAAGAGCAGAAAGTAAGCCAAGAAGGGACTCTGAGCTCATTGCAGATACTAGCAGGGGAACGAATTTTCTTAGGGTCCTCTGCCAATTCTGAATTTAGCCCACTTTGGCAGCCTCTTCTGGATACCTGTGGTGCTAGAGTGCGAGTAAAGCCAGCTAGACCAGGTTAGTAACTTTGACTGTACTTAAGAATAGTTCATTATGTTTTTTTTTTTTTTATATATAAATTTTATATGCCTTTTTCCATCCATCCTTAATTGGTCTGTCAGATTTAATATCTTTGGTGAATTAGTGACAGTGATAATTATTTCTGTTAATATTGGTGATCACTGTAAATTATAGGAGTTGGCTAGTAATTTATGAAAGAAAATTATAAGCTAATTTTTTTTTTCACATCAAACCTGTCATATCCCACTGAGGCAGGATAACCTGCCTCAGTGGGATATGACAGGTATATATGACAGGATATGACTGTGTACAGTAATGTATACAGCAAGTGTGTAAGTGTGTTAGATAGGAGTGAATGAAGACAAATGGTTTTTGGGACCTGATGAGCTGTTGGAGTGTGAGTAGGGTAATATTTTGTGAAGGGATTCGGGGAAATTGGTTAGCCAGACTTGAGTCCTGGAAATGGGAAGTACAATGCCTGCACTTTAAAGGAGGGGTTTGGGATATTGGCAGTTTGGAGGGATATGTTGTGTATCTTTATATGTGTATGCTTCTAGACTGTTGTATTCTGAGCACCTCTGCAAAAACAGTGATAATGTGCGAGTGTGGTGAAAGTGTTGAATGATGAAAGTATTTTCTTTTTGGGGATTTTCTTTCTTTTTTGGGTCACCCTGCCTCGGTGGGAGACGGCCGACTTGTTGAAAAAAAAAAAAAAAAAAATACATTCAGATGTTTGAGTGTTGACAGCTGGGTTTATGAAAGGCAAGATGAAGCATAGAAGAGGGGGAGGAGGGGAAAGGTGGGCGGTACATTGTAGCATCTGTGGAGACGGCTTTATCCTTGGAGGTAATATCTTTGGAGATAAAAAGTGGAATGTACCAGAGTATGCTGCTACCAACATTTATATGGGAGTGAAGGATGGTTTTTAAATATTGCAGCGAGGAAGAGGCTGGAAGCTCAAGAGATGTAGTGACATATACATATACAGGCGAGTACAGTTATGAAGTCTGCCCTGTACTCAGCAGACGGAGGATCAAGCCTCTACCATGTCTTGTGCTGAATGACCTACTTGGGTTTAGTGCTTAATGCAAATTTTTTAATGAAAACATTGTAGAGATGTAGTGTTTGAGAGTAATGTGTGGTGTAAATATTATGCAGAGAATTCTGAGCATGAAGGCTAAGTGTGGGGTTATCAGAGGTATAAATCAGTGGTGATAAATGGTTTGAAAAACTGACAAGTTGAAGATTGAGACACTTATGCAACATATGGGAATCTTTATTCAGTAAACGTTTCGCCACACAGTGGCTTCATCAGTCCAATACAAAGCAGAAGGTGTAAGGAGAGGAGGAGTTTGAGGTAATCAGTCCCTCAGCCTGGAGTCGATGTGTTCAGTCCATCAATCTTGTAGAATGTACAGCATAGGGCCGTAGACATGGCTTGTATACTGTAGTCAGGTGAGGTGAAGCAGGAAGAGGCGGGGTCTTTGTGGTACCATCCACTAGTCGAAGTAGGTCTTCATCCAAAGGTTGGACAAGTGTTGAAGAATTCTTTGTAACAAGATCCCATGATGCTGCAGTGTCTGACAGTTGTGATAAATGGTTTGAAAAACCAACAAGTTGACCTGACTACAGTATATAAGCCATGTCTACGGCCCTATGCTGTACATTCTACAAGATTGATGGACTGAACATATCGACTCCAGGCTGAGGGACTGATTACCTCAAACTACTCCTCTCCTTACACCTTCTGCTTTGTATTGGACTGATGAAGCCACTGTGTGGCGAAACATTTCCTGAATAAAGATTCCCATATGTTGCATAAGTGTCTCAATCATAAATCAGTGGGCTGAGGAGGGCTGTTCAGGTAGTTTGGGCCCTTAGAAAGGATGGCACAAAATAAGGTGACTAGAAGGGTATTTAAATTTGTCAGTGAGATGGGGTATCTGTGGTTTTGAGTGCTAGTGACTTCTGTGAGCATGCTAGGAATGAGTGGAGGCCAGTTGTATTTATGACTTGACGTGCTGTTGGAGTGTGAGCGAGGTAGCAGGAAGGGTTTCAGGGGAACTTGTTTGCCGGACTAGTCATGGAGGTGGTAAGTACAGTGCCTGCACTCTGAGGAAGAGTGGGAGTGTGCATTTTGAAGGGCCGTCTGAACTGTGACGGCAGTACACTTGTGTCAAGAGATTGATTGCATAAATGATGGTGAATGTGTTGCCTCTTCATTAATAACATCCATGTTAAAAAATATCTTAAATATCTTTTGAAAAGCTGCAGGATTAAAACATTTATTGTTGAGCCTAATGTGTAATTTTGTTGTTCAGTAGTTGCTATTATAAGTGAGTTGTCCCTTCATGGGGGTGCCTTGATGCCAGTGAAAGGCTTATGTTCCAAGAATCTGGAGTTTACCCTCCCCTTCCTCTGTTCAAACATAATTGCTCCCCATTTCCCTGATTCTGTATAACCCCTATGGGTTTAGTGCTTCCTCACGAATATACTAAGAGAACTGTCTTTAATTGCAGGGCATTTGAATAGGGTACTCGACAAAAGCATAAATGTGGTAGTGGGAGACAAAACAATGCCTGAGGACGAGTTCCAACGAGCACAACAATTGGGAATCCCCATCTTGGCGACTGACTGGATCATTCACTCCATTATATGTGGCAGGCAGCTTCCATATTTAGACAGTTCAAAATTTCGACTTGAACCAGGCTCGGTGGGTGATGGCAAACTAGAAAAATAGCCAGTTCAGTTTGGCCTCCCTAGTAAGACTTTTACATATGTAAAGAAGATTAACAAAAATGGAAAAAAGTTTAGATTTCCCATCATTAATGATCATTAGTGTTTTCCACCACTAATGATCATTAGTATTTACATCATTAATGATCATCAGGGATCACATTAGTGATCATTGGTGTATGACTGTTTGTCTATACTTGGTTACAGCTGTATATAATGTGCATTCAACACCTGGGTGTTTGTGCTACTGAGAATCATAATAGAGTCCAATAAATAGCATATAAATTAACTAAATGCAATCATTTAATAATCACACTTTATTCCATATTTTTCTATACATATGAAGGTATTAGTGATATAGTCAGCCAGTGCCTGATAAGTCTGGTTGACATGAAGGTGTGAGGGTTGCCAGGGCAATCATGTAATCACTATTGGTTACTGGTAAGGAAGCCTGGCTTCAGGTAGGGTTGCTAGGGTGATCAGGTAGTCACTACTGGTTACTGGTAAGGAAGCCTGGTCACAGGCAGGGCTGCTGGGGTACATGAATCCTCAGAATTGGTCAGAGTATGGTAAATCTCGTATTCGTAATGGTTCACGCGTATTTTCTATTTGAATGTCAGCAAAGTAATGGGGACTTGCGAATAATTTTTATATACAATATAAGTTTTTGCTACATATTGTAATTACAAAGAAAAATAGAGCATGATAGTAATGTAGATAAATGGTTCAGAGAACCAACAGTTTGATAAATCAGACATGTGTAACATTTGGGTATCTTTATTGTGGAAACAATTGCCACACAAGTGGCTTCGTCAGTCCAATACAAAGAAGAATGGTGAAGATCAGGAGGAGTTTGAGGGACTGATTACCTCACACTACTCCTGATCTTCACCATTCTTTGTATGGGACTGATGAAGCCACTTGTGTGGCAATTATGTTTCCACCATAAAGATATCCAAATGTTGCTCACATGTCTCAATTATCAAAGCATGATAGCACTGCACTTTTAACTAGAGACCTGATTTTTGTCACCTTAAACTTTGTGGGTAATCTCTTACGATATTTGTAATTAACTGAATTACCCTTATTTTTAATAATAAACTTCAACGTGATTATGTTTGTTACAAATAATTTCTGGGCACACTAATATATTTAGTGATAATGTGTTTGGATAATGTAAATTGTGTAATTAGAATAGACCAACTCCAAGATTGTAGAGTTGTAAGTCAGTGTGAATTGTGTTTTAGCTCGGAATATATTTATTTGTAGAATATGAAAGTTTAAATGTTTATATGAAAATTTTGTACAAACTGTGCGTGTGTACATGAGCAGTCGTTCTTTTGTGTGTGTGTGTGTGTGTGTGTGTGTGTGTGTGTGTGTGTGTGTGTGTGTGTTGTGTGTGTGTGTGTGTGTGTGTGTGTGTAGTTGGGTGGCTTTAGCTCTTGGTACTGCCTCTTCTACTGACCTATATGATTGAGCCTTTGCACATGTATTTTTAAATCCATGTATGGAGTACCCTTCCTCTTTGTCATTGCTCAGTTCATTTTCCTTGACCATTCTTATGTTCAAGAAAAGTTTTGCGAGATCTGTCACTCCTGTGGGTGTGTAATTTTCAGCCATACTTCCTTGCTCTTGTTACATTCCTGCTAGAGATCCTATCCTTGTCTTCCCCATAATGTATATTGTACATTGGGATCATATCCTCTCATGTTCTTTGTAGCTCATTACACACTGTCTTTGTGATATCCTCTATACTCCAACAAGTCTGGTGTTTTACTAGGTGAGGGGTTCCATATCAGCTCATTGTAATCAATGATGGGTTGCTGTATGAGGTAGTGTGTATGTTTACCTGTTTGAGCTTTAGGGAAAAGTTCCTTATTCTTAGTCCTACTTTGTAACTTTTATATGAGGGAAGTGCAATGGCCCGGTTGTAATTATTTTGAACCTCTGTGAATTGCAGGCTTTTAAATACTCAGTGAGGCTGGTATTCTAAGCATTTACCTCTTCCATATTTTACTGTTCATTAATTTACCTTGTTTTACAGTAAATTTTCTCATAACACTGGTAACCTAGTGTTCTCTCTCCAAGAAAGAACCCGTAATAAAGGATTCAAATTAGACGATTGTCAAATTAAGACAATTGTCTTAAAACAGTTCCTGATCAGCCGGGGTTGTGGTGCTTACGTTGGACTACTGAAAATTAGTCTGCAAGGTGAAAATAGCATTGAGTGAAGAATTTATAGGGAAAATAAGGTTATTGTTGACACAATCAAATTTGCATTTTTTTTTTTTTTTTTGCAAGGTAAAAATTACTACAGTTTAATTTTCCTTATATTCTGGTAGTGTTCTTCTTGACCTGGACGAGTGAGGAGAGGATTGATGTGGGTCTACTGGTCTGAGATGGCTAGTTGATTCTCACATTAAGAGCATGTGCATCACCTGGAAACATATCTAAAATTTAAACTATCTTCAGTACCATCATAGATTCATGTTTTTTTTTCCTTGGCATCTCCTGCAACACTAGTACTCCTCTTGGTTGCCATGGTTAATATCCAGAGACCAGAGTGATGAAAACATTCAAAATAGCTTAATAAACAGTGATTCTCTGTTTATCAAATAATTTTGCCATTTTTTCATTATCCCTTAGTGTCTCTTGGATAGTGGGATACGGCCGGTTTGTTGAAAGAAGAAAAGTCTCTTGGATATTAACCATGGCACCCAAGATGCTGGGTGTCCTGCGAAGGTGTGAATCTGATAGTATTGAAGAAGGGAAATCTTAGATGTGCATCTAAATGGTGCATGTGTGATGCAGATTGTTTTCACTCTTGATCTGAGACAGTCTACTGTCCGTACAAATAGGGACAGTGAGAAGATTAAAATTTGTACAGTCAGTAATCTAGATTGTGACCTAGTGCAAAGAATGTCAGTGAAATCAATGCTGGAGGGTATAACAGACCAGATGGTTGCACTCGAGTATAACCATCAACTACTGGCAACTCTGCATCTGCATCAATCCAAGAACCACAGCCATCTGCCTCAGGCCACTCGAGCCACACCATATCTATCCACACACTCACACACACTACCATATCAACAAACAGTGCAGATTAGAATGTAAGGTAAGCTGTATTATTTTAGACATAGTAATAAGACTATTTAAAAATTGTTTGGCAAATTTGGTGGTTTCAGGAACATAAAAACATGTTTTTCTATGTTTTTCACAACAATTTGCACTATTTTGTATTCGAGGTCTCTAACTTGCACTCTGATGATTTACTATATTCGGCATACTTGTAAAGGAAGTTCTTGTATATTATACCTTCTTCAATGTTCATCTTCATTGCCAACAAGGAGAAAATGAGCCTGTCTTTGTGCTGTGATCTCTTCATATATATCGGCTTAATATTTTTAAAGAGCTCTACTTTTTAGGCATTTTTTTGTTAATGTACTTAGGTGATAGAGGTTAATTTAATTTGTTGACCTTAAAGCAAATTATTGATTTATTTTATTAGTTTGACTGTTATTACCATTTAGTATTATTAGGATTATATTTTCATCATATTTAGAAGTTTTGTTATTATGAATATACACAGTAATTGTAATAGTGTTTTGCATGTGGTTTCCTTTTGTCATCAAAGGAGATTCCTTGATGCTTATGAATGTTTCTGGATTCAGGGAATTTGAGTTACTCTCCCTTGGATCAAACCTATTCCCCCAGGCACTGCATGAACCCTGTGGCTTTAGCACTTCCTCATGAATATAGTTATTACATTTTCTCCTAACTGGTTTCCCATCTCTTGCCCAGTTGTAGAGTTTAGCTGGTGTTACTGTATTCTTTACCATGTCATGTGTGAGCTCTTTTGCTGTCTTGACATTAGGATCTTCAAGTTTTTACAGTGGTGGCTAGTCACACCTAGTAGTACAGTTGTTTTATCAGTATGAACAAAATTAGGCATTGCATGAATTTGTGACTTACTGGTATGTTTAATTTTACAATTGAAAAAAAAACATTAAATGTTTTAAAGCTCATATATTTTAACTTTAAAGATGACCTCTATTTTTTGTGGGATTAGAGTATCCCATTGCATTTATTATTGTATATACTCATGCAGTGGGTGAGAACGTTGGTACCTAACATGACTCAAGAAATCGTAATGACACGATTGCAAACAAACTATAACCCCGCGGGTTCAATCCCGGCCGGGGGTATGGTTGGTACCTAGGGTGAGCCAGTCCTTGTTGTGCGTGATAGTCATTCATCTCCTGACATTTACATGTCAGTGATTTTAACTGCTGTAAAGAAAAGTTTGTTTGTATGCTAATAAAAGTCTGGTATATAGTATGAGTGTGATAGAGTGGAGACGAGTGGTTTTTGGTATTGTGCTGTTGGAGTGTGAGCAGAGTAGCCTTGATGAAAGGATTCAGTAAATCTGGTTAGCTGAACTTGTCTTGGAGGTCGGACATCCAGCGACTGCACTTCCAAGGAAGGTTGGGGGTGTTGCTCTTTGGAGGGTCATCTGAATTGTGTTGTCTGTACATATCTGGCAAGACAGCTTCGATTGAATGGTGGTAAATGTGTGTGTACCCTTTTGGGTCACTCTACACTGGTAGAAAATGGCCAGTGTCGAGAAAAATTTATATTTTGTTGTGTGTGTGTGTGTGTGTGTGTGTGTGTGTGTGTGTGTGTGTGTGTGTGTGTGTGTGTGTGTGTGTGTGTGTGTGTGTGGTTGTGTGTTTTGTGTTTGTGTTAGTGTGTGTTTGTGTTAGTGTGTGTGTGTTTGTGTGTGTGTGTTTGTGTGTGTGTGTGTGTGTTTAGTGTGTGTGTGTGTTAGTGTATGTGTGTGTGTGTGTGTTAGTGTGTTAAAATTAGTGTTTTCTTATGAAGCATTTCAGTTGTTGAAATAACTTCATGTACAAAATATCTCGCCCAATACTGATGTTGGCCAAACATGTTCATAATGACCTGTTCACTTCATGTACTTGTGAATGTTCCATTCCACCCACTCCTTCACTCCCTCAATATTTGTCATGATCTGCCATAGTACTACATATAATGATGAAAGATGACCCATTTACTCATTTCCAAGGATGTGTATGCAATGTACTGTAGGTTTAATTGTGCACTGCTGCTATTCAATAGAAAACCAACTATGTTGCTTCATATTTAGTGGGGCCAGCATAAAGCCCTCCTGTACATTTTTAATGTAATTATGTAAACTCACTTGCATTACTTTTCCTCTATAAACTTTATGCACATACTATAAATAGTGTCCTGTGTGGGTTTTAAAATTAGACAAAGTTCAATAGCAGTCTACAATGGTGTTACCTGTGTTAATGTGAGGTTTTGTATTAGAAAGTTATTTCTGTATTCTTTCCACATTTAAGATACAAGAAACTGGTAATCCTCTTTGTATATTATGAATGTATTTTATTTATTATTTTTTTTTTTACTGAAGCCAGACGACTTGTCTTTCATTTTAACAGTACAACTAAAATCCGCGTATGTGCACAAGGCCTTAAAATTTTGGAAAATTGCGGCCTTTTTTTTCGTTCTGTGGGCACACACATGAAAACATGGTACATACATCTTGTTCAGACTCTGACATGCATACAGTTGCTGTTTTTTTTTTTTTTTTTTTTTTTTTTTTCCAACAAGTTGGCCGTCTCCCACCGAGGCAGGGTGACCCAAAAAAAGAAAGAAAATCCCCAAAAAGAAAACACTTTCATCATCATTCAACACTTTCAGTTGCTGTACTTTCAAATAAAACACAGTACCTCTTGTTCAGACTATGACATGCATACTCACTTGAGTACAAAGACACAATATGCAAACCAGGATATTATGAGGACTGTTTTGCTCAGGGTAGAGCTTTATCAGGCCACTGATAAAGCTCTATCTTAAGCAAAAATACTCTATAGTCCCAGTAAAGGCTTGTTTTGCATAGTGTCTTCGTTACCATACCTGAGGGCATTATGCCTGTTCATCCACTTGCTGTACAGTTAGATAAAACATGTTAGCTATAGATTTAGTTTTTAGTAGTAGTTTATGCCTTGGCAAATCATTTTATTGTGGCTAGATTTGAAAAATCTTTTTAATACTGCACTTGCCAAATTATTAGACGTTGTGGATTACCAAGGAGAATTGCATAGTCGTCTTGAACCATTAAACAAAAAAATAATTACCAACCAAATTTTTGACCCAGAAAAACTGCAGATTTTGACAATATGGCAGTTTAAATGTATGAAGGTAATCTGCTTCATTAATATTACTGCGAAATCAGTTTATCAACAATGGATAACTTGAACCGAAGTCTTAGCTTTGGAATAAATTTACCAAGAGCCAACATAAAAGGCTCATTCAGCTGTTCCTTTAGCGAGATCTGAACTAATTGGTCATTCACCAAGGATTTGTATGGCAGATTATTACATAAATGTGTGAAATTCACTAGCCCCTAAATGACATTTTTAATTAAGTACCTGTGTACATGCAGCCATGTAAAACTCCCACAGTAAGGCTTCTTTTTTAAATAATTCAAATTAGCCGATGTGTTGCTTTTTTGTCACTAAGTTTATTTCAGTCTTTACTGAATACTCAATACCTGTGTATCTGTGATTGAGGAGCATTAGTTGTGCTTCTCAAAACCACTGGTTATTGACTTAGTCATTGTGTACATGTGATGTGTAAAATAAGTTGAATGAAAACTAGATTGTCCACATGCATTCTGTTAAACCTTGTAGTTTTGTTGTCAGAATCATGAAGCATAGGTATGATCTTCATGATGCAGTGTTTTAGCTGGTGTAGTTACTGCACCTGAATTCTCTCTATTCCTTGTACTATATTCACTAAAAGTTTTTAGAAATTGAATGTAACAAAAAATATTGTGGAATAAAAAAATTTGTATCTTGAACAGTTTGGGAATGCATGTAATTTGTGCCATATATGTCTTTGAAAAGTCTTTGTTTTATTTTCCAATGTAATTAATATGTTGCAAGTAACATTAATATCACTTTAAAGTCCATTTTTTTTTTGAGATACTGTTTTAAGTCTTCATAACCCCTTGTAAGCAACCATCTTGTGGTGGGATCTTTAACCTTTCACTGTCTGTCACAGCTCTGGTATTGATGCCAAGGTCTGTCATGTAGATTTATGTTATTGATCCTCTTCAAGGGGGGCTCCTTGGCGTGGTGAAGAGGCTCTTGGTCTGAGGAATTAGACCTATCGGTCTTCTTCCTCAGACCGAACCTAATTACCCCCCAATCTCCCCTCCCCTATCCCATCCTCCCCATCCTCCCCTTTTTCCTTTCCTCCTCCTCCTCCCCACTCCTCCCTTTTGCCCTTCCTCTTTTTGTCCTTTGGGATTTCTCCCACAGGCACGCTAGTTCCTAGGTAGAGGAAAGGACACCGGGGTCGATCCCATTCCGTTGAGGTTTCTTGGCGGTGGCGTAGTTTGCCGTGGAATCTGGATTGCCTAGGGATGTCCCGATCCCTCTCCGGTATCCCGGAGTAGCTTTGGGTGTCTTTTGGGCGACGGGTGTATCTCTGGAAGCCACCTTTCGGATTCCGGGGGTGGGGGCTGAAGGAGGTATGCTTTGTGGCGGATATCCGGCCGCCCTCTCTTTTGTCCACCGAGGTAGCTCGGCAGATGTGAGGTTGCTATCCCAGATTGCTGGTTTACTGGCATGAAGGGTAGGGTATGGCACGGGTTCCATGCTGCATCTGCGCTACTAGCGGTGTCGAGTCCTCTTGGGCGCGGAGGGAGATTTCTGGCCCTTTCATTCCTCCTAGGAACTATCCCTCCCCGGTCCCCCCTTTTTTTTTCTTTTTTTTATTTTTATTTTCTTTTCTTCTTTCTTTTTTTTTCTTAAAAACAAAAAGAAAGAAGTAACCTAACCATGGCAGCCCTAGTCCATGAACCTTTTACCCCCGGGCCCCTTCTTGATACCGCACCCCGTTCTGACCCCGCCTCGTCTTTGGACCACTCTTCAGACATTCCTCATGCCTCTGTACCTATTGCCGGTGCTGTTTCCTCACCTGCTTCAGGTACTGAGGCCTCGACTGACTCCTTCGATTTATCAGACCTTCGCTCTCCTCTGACTATGCTTCCGGCCTCTCCCTCTACGGTGCGGCAATTTTCAAATCGCCGACCCGTTCCACGTCGGACCAACTCTGGTCCCACGCCTAAACGTCAACGACAATTACCTGCTGATGATACTTCTCCACCTTCACCTTCTCGTTCTCTCAGAAAAGATCGACACGTCCTTCACTACCTTTCCACGCTCAGTTTCAGACTGAACAGTGGGACTAAATTCTTCACTTTGCGACCAACTTCCTCTACTGCCTATCTTTCTGACCATAGTATTGGCAAGGCACTCCTACGCCATGTTGGTAAAGATATTTCTTTTCATGCTCTTAAGAGCGGTACGCGCATCATTACCGTACAGAATGCTACCCAGGCTCATGAGCTCTCTCGTCTTTCCCATATAGATACTGTTCCTGTCACCCTTGAAAAACATCATTCCCTCAATTCTTGTAGGGGTACCGTTATTCCTGCCCCATACCATAGTTCAACAAAATTTCCAGACATGCGGCACCGACATTCTAGAACAGCTGGAACTCCAAGATCTCCCAATCCTCAAGGTAGACACTTACGTTCTTCCTGCCCGTGGGCGGAGACGATACCCTAGCAATGTGGCTCGTTTAACTTTTGACAGCCGAGAACTCCCACCTCAGTTTATATAGCAGGACATCGGTTACAAGTTCGAAAGGTGATCCCTACACCACAACAGTGTAGAAATTGCTGGCGATTTGGCCATCCAGCGAAATATTGCAGATCTATCGCCGAATGCCCAGTCTGTGGTGCCGATGACCATTCTAATACGTCTTGCAATCGATCTCCCTCTTGCCTTAACTGTCATGAGGCTCACCCTTCGTACTCTCGCCGTTGTCAGGTCTATTTAAACGAGCGGGAAATCCGTTACCTCAAAGAGACAGAAGGTCTCCCTTATGCCATGGCAGTTTCTCATCTCCGCCTCCAAGGAAGACTCCCACGTGTTTCTTATTCCCGTGTTTCAAAAACGTCCCCCCACTTCTGGTATCCCATCTTCTACACCCACCTCTGTGGTTACCTCTCCCATAATCACTCCTGTATCTAATCCTTTTGCTGTCCTCGGCTCAGACGTCCCTACTTCAACACCTCAGTCTAATCTCGCTTCTTCGAGTTCTCTCTTACAAGCCTCAGTATCGACGAGACCTCGTACGACACCTCTTCCCAATCGTCCCTCTACTTCTCAAAAGTCAAAAAAAGGTCCGGTAACACCTCCTACCCATCTTCCACCTCCTCATTTTACCCTCCCTGTCTCTGTCCCTAGTTCTTCCCCTCTCACTGGCTCAGTTACAAGTGCAGAGGTTCACCCTCCTCCTCGTAATGTACCTTCCTCCCCTGTTCCCTCCCAAGTTTCTTCCTCTTCTGCCACCTCCCAGGTTCCTGTCTCTTCTGTCCCCTGCCACGCTTCTCCAGTTCCCTCCACCTTTCGCCCCCCCCTACCTTGGTACAGTCCAATACAGTTCCAATCTTTACTCATCCTCCCCCTACCATTCCCAATATTGTCTCCCATACGACATCTCTGAATTCTGAAACAC